AGATGAACAACTACCTAGAACCTGGAGGGGCGCAAAACAGAAGGGTGAGTGGGCAAAAAAAAAAAAAACAAAGTGTTTGAAAACATATTTATCTTTATGAACATCATAAACCTCTTCTTAAAACCCGTATAGTTTCCAGAAAATCCTACTACATAGGTATGAAAACCAATGCACAAGACCAACCAAAACTGAAGTATGCCATGTCATAACGTTCAGCTCTAAAAGATGTAAATCAGATGTGAAACCATTATAAAATAGTATGCCAATCGGAGTCACCTAACGTGAGCTGTACGACTAGACCTATAGCTCATCAATCTAGGCTAGCACACGAGTCGGAGTCACCTAGTGTGACCTATATGACAAGCTGGGTATAAATACGTACTCTCAAGTGCTACAATTACATGAAGGCTGTGCGATAAATCACGGGTCACCTATGAGTTGGAACCACCTATTGTGGTCCGTACGACAGGCTGACACCAGACTTGGATCCAAGGTGAGAGTGTGGTGCAGGAGGTAAGGAATCACGTGAAGGCTAGCCCTGGCCCTAGGCGGGAGCACTAACACCAGGGTGCAGCCATTATGAGCTCTAAATAAATGTATGCATGCCAATGTAATACAACCCATTCAATCACATAATACTCACTTAAAACTTACTTGAGTCTCCACAGCATCACATAATACAATTCACAAGTGTAACAATGCAATATTTAAAATGTAACTTATTTACGACATGGCAAGCAAAGCATAATTCCATATAAAAACGTTTCTGGAAACTGAGTACATATATATGTGTGTGTGTGTGTGTGTGTGTGTGTAGAGAAGTGTTATTGGCACTTTCTTTCCAAATATAGAAAGTTTGGAATGTAGAATGAGATTTTTGGAGTGCCAATAACAATTCCATATATATATATATATATATAACAAATGCCCACTCACTGATAAGTAGCAGGATCGTAGCCCCTGGCATCGCTTGTCCACGCTTATCCTCGGGGTACGTCTCACCTATATGAGATACAACTATCTTTACGTTAATTAATTAGCACATATACAAAACCTAGGAATAACCTATCATATCTTGCTCAAATGTAAGGTTTGAATATACCAACGTGATCTACTTGATGATATGAACACACCTATATTTTTAGAAAAAATTTTGGACATCGGACGCATCCTCACGCGCTGTCCAAGACACGGCCACACGCACTAGCCACGCGTAGGCACATCCACGACACACTAACGGAAACCCTAATGGCGTTAAGGATATTCCATCAAAATAGGTAGAATATTCTGTTAAAGTTAACGGAATATACCTTCTTCTTCTCCGGTCACCCGCCACTCTCCGCCATCTGCCGCCGCCGGCTGCCGTCTGCACTCGCCGGTTTTTGGAGAATTTTCAAAAGCTTATATCTACTTCAATTCTTAACCAATTTTCATGAAATTTATATGGATTTAAAGCTCTTGAGGAGTAGAACACATTTGTACCTATTAGAAGTCCAAAATTCAACGAAAAACGGTCGAAAAATCCCTCGACAATTCCAGCCAAAATTGGGACTTCTCAAAATCGTGTGATCCGACGTCAATACAACTCCAAACTTGTTCCAAAGTTCTAAGGAAGTTGCGTGGAGACTTTTCCAATTCCTAAGACTCCGTAAACTCGCTGGGATCGTGACGGAGTAAACTTGCTCCTCGTCGGAGCTTCTGGTGTCTCAGGTTACACTCGTCCGTTCAACGTTTAAGTTGTATCATTGAGTTTGTAAGGTCAAGGGGAATACGATGATGTAAAGCTCACGTTCGATCTATGGGTTTGGGTGTGGGTGTGTCACGGTGCAAAGGAAGAAGAAGGGAGAAAAGTCGAGAAGGAGAATGTACGTGTGTGTGTGCGCGTGTCTGATTAGGCAGAAGAAGAAAATACATATCTTCTGATTGGGCCACGGAATATAAGAGCCTAAATAATTGGGTAGATAAGGGTTGAGTTTGGATCAACATTCAAAAGAAAAACAACTTAATTCTACCCAGTTACGCATTCAGTTGTTCGTAACCTTTTTCGTTACTACTTCGATTCGGCCCTAAGTCGCATTAACGCGCTCGTGACGTCGAGTACGATTTAATTACGATAGCAAGAAAAATAATTTAAATCTGCACATGTACATCCATGTCACTTAGCCAACGAGGCATATTTGTCACTTTACACACTCGGGGAGAAAAATATATAAAAAATTGGGACGGGTTGTCACAACAAGCATAACTGTTCAAATAAAGATCATGGTTGAAACTTATTCAACTCTATTCACACCATTGTTGGCTTCAATGGATGTCAACTGTTCAAATGTGAGTAGCTTTGAGACTGCGAAATGTGAGTAGCTTTAAGGACCCAATGTGAGTAGCTTTGAGACTATGAAATGATGTCAACTGTTCAAATACAAAAAATAAATATTGAATCATTAATTTACAAAAGTGGGATGTGGGTAAAAAAAAAGAAATATCAAATTAATGGACTACAGATCACTAGATTAATTCAATAGATCAGGACCAAACATGAGTTGGTCGTGGAAATAAGAAAATACAGATGTTTGGCCCATAGTGGGTCGTATGTAGGCCTGGAAAACTGGTCGTGTTTGTGCCATTTTCGTTTCATACTCGTTAAGATCAAGCCCGTTAAGATAACGGGTTCCTAACAGATAACCCATAATGACTCGATTTGTTAACAGGTCATGTCGTTTCATATCATGTTAATGGGTCATGCAATAAATTGTCATGCTTAATGTCTAGGTTTGGCAAACGATATCCTATTGCGTTTATAATGGGTGATCCCATAACGACCTAACACGTTAACAGGTTACCCGATAACGACTTAACTCATTAATAGGTTGACCTGAAACACGTTATTTTTGTGTCGGGTTAACGGATCGTGTAAAAAAATTATCTAGCTTAGTTGTATGGATGTGAGCTAAACAATTGGGAAAGTAAAAAATAAGCGTGGGCCGTGAACAGTGCACCTGAGTAAGAGATGGGTGTGAGGTGGAGCAAGAACTAGCCTAAACATTGGGCTTGAGATCCGTGCATAGCAAGCCCAAGGACTTGGGCTGCAAAACTTGAAGCCTAACAACGTCGTTCTAGAGCAACGCGACAGGAATGACTTGGTGCAATGGCTTCATGCAATTAGGGTTTTGACAAAAAAAATCTTTATTTGCTTCGATTTGTATTTTTTTCTTTGTACTCGCACAATTCACCGTAGCAATATCCAATAACAGAATAAAATACAATTTTTTCATAGCAAAAGTAACATAATAAAAATATTGCGAATGCATGAACATGATATATATTGAACAATATATGCAGTATAAGACAATATATAAAGGGTAGATAAATTGGGAGTTCATGTATCATGGTGAATGTTTTTATATAATATGGGTATAAAATATCGATTTCATGTTTTTGAAGAACCTAGATTGGATGGAAACTGGACTAGTAGCACGATCCAGTCCTAGATAGGCAAACCTAATTTTAACAGCAGGCACAATAACAATGAAAATGGCTCCTTCTTTAGTAAGATTATATGAACAAATGCTGAAAGCCTTTGAATGCTAGTTGTAGAAGGTCCGTCTCCAAAATCTAGAATTTTATCTCCAATGCTTTGTATTACGTCCAACATAGACATTGAAAGAACAAGTAATTGAATTAATAGCAAATAGATCAACTCAATAAAATAATAAATGAATCATAATAAAAATGATTAAAACGTAATACTCCCCTAAAGTGAAGCTGATCAAACTCTTTTTTGCGCAGTGTCAAGAGTGTGCTGATAACGTGTTCTAGATATATTTTACTGAGAGAAAAGAGAGGGAGGAGGCCAACAGTAGATAGAGAGAAAAGACAGAATTTAGTGATTTTGTGGTGCTGATTTCTCACCCCATTATGCCTTTATTTATAGTAGTAAGGAAAGGAGAATCGTTGCTTTTCAAGTAATACATTACAACTAGAAATCTATCTAAAACATATATAGAATCCTACAACGATTTAAATAATCACAACTAACTAATTTAGGACTACAGCAAAGATGAATTACTCATTAAAAAGCTTATTCATTTCTATATTCCAAATAGTCCATAACCTGTTAATAACTTAAGGACCGAATGAGGATTGGTGGAAAGAAAATGGAGCCAAGTGATGATGATGGTATAGGGGAAAGGACCGAATGAGATGGAGGAAATGGGTGAACGAGATTTGAGGCTCGGGATGATGAAAACAAAGGCAAAAAAAGTACCAGGAAGATGAGATCGTGAAGGGAAGATCGGGATGGAAACGGGGCAGGGATTATTGCAAAAAACAATAGGAGAAAGAAAAAGAAGAAGACAGGGAAGTCAAGGGACTGCCACCGGCCTTGCCATAGCAAAAGCCGATGGCGACACAGAAAATCGAAAACGAAGTCACTCACACCACCGGTGAGAAAGGCTCTCACTAGAGGAGAGAAAGGCCTACGATTCCATCAAGTTTCTGAATTTGTAATTAACGTAATAATCTTAAAAGCTATGTTTTGGCGAGAAATTTCCAAATCCTAAAGGGTTGAGGCCAAGTCGGGTAGAAATGGATCCAAAAACGTTAATACTATTTTAATTAGCTCGAACTTGGCCTTTTCATTGTATAAATACTACTGAGAGTAAGATTCTGCAGATTTTTTATTGAAAATACAAAAATTTCTCACTGCTTAAGCTCTAAATAATGACTTCATGTGCACTTGCAGTTATGTATGCCAGCAACTTACCAGTTTAAAAACCATAACAATCCTCAGAGAATTTTAACCGGTATATATGGCAGATAATCGCCTCAAGCGTCATTAACAGATTCAGCTTCCTCAAATTTCAATCGATCGATATCAACTTTAAAAACAATTATGAGACTTCCCTAAGCATATCTACATACATAATGCTATGAAATGACTATGCCAAAGTATGCAGAAGCATTGCAAAAGCAAACTTGAGGAATTAATGCAGCAAAAGAGAGAAAGACAATTCAAAGTTGAAATTACGACAAATTTGGTAGTAAAAAGTATATGTTGTCTTGAAGATTTCACGCATTCTGCGTTGAAGACATGTACTTTAACAACAAAAGAAAAATCACTATCAGAAGCCATAATATAAGACCACACTTGTTGCAGTCCATATGTTCTTTTTATTTTCTTACCTTTGAGAGCCTAAAAAACTTGAAATTTCAGTACCAGAACCCTTATTTCAATGTACAACCGCTTCAGTCTGTCCTTTGTATTGACACATCACTATACCAACTTGGTTTTTCTCATGTAGGAATGGCGCAATGGCCGTTTAGAAGGCCATTGATTTCTTGATTTTGCTAGAAACTGACTTAAAACTTGAGACATTATAGAGGGTGCCCAGAGGTGCCCAAATCTTCATAAGGGTAGGATTGAGCTAAGACTCCTTCCATGTTTGGATGAAAAAAGCTTCCTGCCAGATGCAAAGGGCTTTTTCATTGATATTGACCCCATCTGCAGAGAAAACCCAATTGAAGAACTTCTCATTAGTTTGGCTAGGCTAGAACTTGAACTGCCATGCTTCGAAACATTCCCCGAATTCATATTCTTTACATGTGATTGGGAATTCGAACTTCCTTCTTCAGGAATTACATTCGCCACATCGCGATATATTCTCAAAGCAGACATTGAATCCATCGAAACTGATCTCCTCATTGGTTGAATATCCTCTTCAGTAACACGCCGATTGTCAGTCAAATCACTTAATGCTCTCGGATCACAACTTCCCACAGGCACAATAGAATTTCGCAAAACCTTCCTCGAACTTTCAGCAGCCCTTCCCTCAATTGGAATTACAGAAACATTACCATCCTCTCCAGCCCCAACCTCATTTGTCCAACTTCCAACACTTTCAGCCCCTCCATCACCCTCCAAATTCTCCACCTCACCGCTATCCCTTGAACCTGAACCACTCGAAACAGGCTCCGGGTCACTCACCTGAGCACTAGCAGTGTCATAAACAATCGGGGCGCGGCAAAGCGGGCAATTCTTATGTGATCTCAACCAGGTATCAATACAAGGGATGTGAAAGGCATGACTGCACTTCGGCAAAAGCCTAAGACTCTCATCTTCTTCAAACTCATTCAAGCAAACAGAACAATCCGTTCCCTCAATCAAACCCTCATCTTTTCGAAACTTGCAGACAGTTATAGAGTCAATCACAGATTGTGGGAGACCAACAGTGTGTATGTACCAAATGGGATGGTCAAGAACAGGACCGTGATCTTCATCAATAAAATCTTGTTGGGTATCAAACAAAATCGGTAAAGACCTACTCCTCGACGAATTGTTGCGGCGGCGGCGGCGGTAAAATCTAAAAATTGAGAAAACAATAGCAAGAAGAAGAGCAGCCCCAATCGTACAAATTGTGATAGTCATACTTGTTTCAATCAACTGCTTCCGCTCAGATGTGGGCTGATAAGAATTATCAGGCAGGGATGGCGGCGGCGTAGATGGCGGCGTAGGAGGGTTTGGTACAATTGGAGGAGCAAGCTGACTACCAACATAGACTACAAGATTCTTACAGACATCAGGGCAGGTTTTGAAACAAGATTCAATACAATAACCCCCTTTGTTCAAGAGTGGATTACAAGGAAGTAAACAAACGAATTGCTCACTCAGACTTGTTTGTGCCAGGAAATTTTTGTGATCAAACTCCATTGAAACAAAACCAAACAGAGCAAAAACAGAGGAGATCCAAAACAGGGGATTAGAAATTCATACCTTTCATTGCTTATGATCCAGAGAAGGGAAGGATCAGACTTCAGAGAGAGTCAAAAGGCAACAAGTTGGTGAGGGTTTTGTTTGGAGGGTTGGTTTCCACCACATACAGAGGTTTGAATGGATTGTGATGGAGAGAAATGATGGCTGTGGGTGAGGACTTTTGCTTGTTGGGACGTAGTTTCCTTGAAGAATTTCGCTTTCGAAATGACTTTTCCTTGGGGAGCATTTTACTCACCACCGTCACTGTTGTAATGCATCCTCATCATTCTATTTATCATCGTTAGATAAGTTTGAATTTTAAAATTTGTGTAATAGATAAACACAAATTTTAAAATTCAAACTCATATAACTGTGATAAATAAAATAATAAAAATACATCACATTAAATGATGGTGGACAAAAATGCATTTATCGGTAGTTTTGTGTTTCTTTTTGGAACTGTAGAAAGTCAATGAGATTTTAAAACTCATTCCGCGTTAACTATTCTTTTTCCTTTTTTTATCCCCCCAAGGGTATTATACAGTGTTCCTGACGTGGAGTTGATATTCGATTGTTATATTGTCAATCACGTCCTTTGTATATCGTACGCCTTCTTGATTTGCACCCCAAGATGCCCGCAAATTTCCAGCGGATCATAGAAGCCCAGGTCTCTTTTATCCCAACCAACCCAACCTTTTTAAACCCTTGGCCATAGAAGCCCAAATTCCGCCCTTTTTTATATCCTCTTTTAGATCAGTCTCTTTCTCCTGTTGTGTGGGCTGAAATTTTGTTTGCTGGGCATTAGACTTTTGCAGTACCAAGACGACCCAATATTTGCCAGAAGAGTAAAACAGGAACACGAATGGTCTGTTCTTCATCAACACATTAAATAGAACTCACCAAAATAAGTACTTTTCGTTTGTTCAATTTTCTTTGTGCTCAACGAAGAGTAGGATTCATGTTTATACATGAATTTAAATGTCAAATTTAAGAATTGTTTGATAACTATTTCGTTTTTAATTTTTACCTTTTGTATTCATTTTTCTTAAAGCTTAAAGCTAAAAGCTAAAAAAAAAAAAAAATGAAAACAAAATGGCTATTAAACCGGCGTAAATTAACCAATCAAATACTTAGCAAGGTTTGCCACCAGAACCACTGAGGCAAAATTAGAAATAACAAACCTACAACACATGGGTAATCTAGATATTTTATTTCCTTCTATTTTTGCATCTATAACTATATGATGAAGAGAAATTTTGGTAGTACTGAGCTATTGAGACAACTATCACATAGAGTGGGACTAGCGTAGGTCAAGTGGGATAAAACTACGATGATGTTATATTTTTGATAGGCACATTATAGATGACATGGTCAAGTGTCACTACCCAAATTATCATTCCAAGTAATTTCTAAATGGGCAAAATTGTAATTGAATTTTGTTATGCTATATGTCCAAGTGCTTGATTGTCCTCTCTTAATTTGTTGGGGGTTCGAATGATTTTTTTGCAAGGATGATCTTCAAATGAAGATTAAGAAATTGAAAGGTTCCGTTTATAAAATTAATACAATGAATATACATTATTCGTAAGGGGTGAAATATGTGCATTTTCCTACTGAAAAATGCAAGTATTATTCCTGATCCGAATAAGTCTATGTATGTCTGTAAACCTAACAAATACTTCATAGCCTTTTTTTTTTTTTAATCTCTTCATAGCCTTAAACAAGCCCCAATGGCTTGCTTTAATTGGATTAGTTTTTCAATTTTCTAAATTTCTAATTCCGACACTTCTCTTTTGTAAGAGTTGCTCAGTCTCTCGTTATTTTGTAGTGTATGATGACATTATAGTCACAAGAAACTCACAAACAACTGGTCTATTTATCATATCTCAATTGGGTCAACAGTAGTAATTATTCATATAATACCTCAACTAGGTATATGGCATCTACTAGTTCACTGCTCTCTCAAATTAAATATATTTCTGACTTGCATCCCAAGTTTGACATGGTTGGTGCCTTGTATATATAGATCTTTAGTAAGAGCTTTACAATACGATACTTGTAAGCTCTGCCAACTGATGCAAGCTCCCAGAATACCTCATTTTCAAGCATCAGAGAGATTACTGAGGTACCTTAAACGTAAGAATGAGAGAGAAAGAGACACGAAAAACGTTACCGGAAAATTCTCTTAACAACTAATCTGAATGTTGCAGAATATATGAAGGCTTGTCTGCTACCCTGTCGAAAAAACCTCCCCCAATATATAATGCAGCTTGTCATTAAACTATGGTACTTGCGTCGAACACGGCTATGCATTTGGTTATGAGACGACAAAGTCCCGTTTCTTCGGAATTTAGATACGTTTCCTTTTCCAGTATTTGCAGGATGGCTGGATTGGAAGGCTGCGGTTCTTCACCTCCGTTTGGTTTTTGGCTAAGAATGTTCTTTTCTTTTTCCAGTGGTCTTCTTGACCACTATCCATGTGAGAATGAGCACCCATCCGGCTTTACGACACTCTAATTAAATGCACTTGCATTCTCTTGGGATAAGCTCATTCTTCAACTGGCAAATAAAAGAGAGAATAAACTCATTCATTCACTTGCAAATAACGTATCATCACCTTACAAATTTCAAAATTAAAACTGTTCAATTTCTTAATCTTCATTTGCAGATCATACTTACAATTCAATGTTTATTTTATACCAATGACGTACCATTACAGTGTAACCAATGGCATAGTATTACAGTGTAGACGTATGTTATTGGGAAACGTTATAAACTTACACAACATCGTGATCGCGTTACAACATAACGTCAACATACAAAGTCTAAGATAGGGGTACACTGTACGTTCAAATTTACATCCAAAGTTACATAATTCTTTTATTGTTGTATTTATTTACACCAAATAACGTTGGTATTATTATACAAATGTTGCACTTTTTGGCATAGATATTAGATTACACTAATAAGATAGAGAATTGTTATTGGCACTCCAAAAATCTCATTCTATACTTCAAACTTTTTATATTTGGAAGGAAAAATACATTTGTAAGGAGTGTAAAATGAGATTTTTGGAGTGCCAATAACACTTCCCGATAAGATAATATACTATAATTGAACAGTATTGCATTATAGTTTACGGTAATGCTAGGGAAACTAATTTTGTAGACAAAATTTACAAATTAAATAATTTGTCACCAATAAGAATAAGCATACTTATCAACGCTTGAGTAATAACTCAATCATTAACTTTCATATCATTTAGTTTACAAAATTTTATCTATAAATCTAGCCTCTCTATTATTATCCATTTAGGATAATGTTCAAATTAAATAATACTCATACCTTTTTTTATTAAAGTACCATAGACGAACCCTTTTTTAAATGTTTCCTTATTCTAACAATTCTACGTCAAACGTGTTTTCTTATTTTACGAATGAGGATCCTCTCCTGATCTTTTTTATGAGAATTTTAGATATCCTCAAATCGTATCCGTTCATCGTATATCGTGCAGTCATTTTTTATCAGATATTGTTTATATTTAATTTTAAATAAACATATTTAAAATAATTTATGACCGCACGATGTACGATGAATGGACACGATTTGAAAATTCCCGAGATTCTGACAAAGAAAATTCGAAGAGAATCCTAGATCTTATTTTACAAGTTAGAGACAAATGGTGTACCAACAGTTTTGTCCTTGCGTAATATCAAATGGAAAGCTAGATCTATCATCCCTATCAGCGTCTAGCTGGCCTTGGTACTGGGGTAAGCCATGTGAAGGATCAAGCCACACGCTATTGTCATTAATTAATGTTAATAATATATATTTTCCGAAAAAGTCTTCATTATCACCCAAACTTATGACGAAAAATATTAATTTCACAGAGAGTATTATCATATTTAAACACGTTGGCGTATAGCAATTAATAATAATTACAGTCAAGAAAACTCGTAGTTGACCATGGGAGGCTAAGGAAAGAACAAGTCATCTGTTTCGTACTTTCCTAAGGTCCAATGTGTTGGGCGTGCATATATGTATCCATATACCAAATCCATTACAATAATCATGGGGCCCCTCTTGGATTATTTCTATCTACTTTCCTTTGACTAGTTTTTTCATTGAACCTAAATAGCCTATATATACTAGCACCCAAGGAACAAACCTCTCATCACCAGAAATACTTTAAAAATATTACTATTAATTGGAGGAGTTGATCAAAGGAAGAACTAATGTCGACATTCACATCAACTGATCTTTGCAAGTGGCATAGTCGCCTTTTCGTAAAGCCTCCTGGATTGTTCCGGCATGTTTCATCATCGACGTTGAAATGCCAGCAAGGTTTCAGAACCAACCATGCATTGTTGCCTCTCACAATTGGCCAAAGGAGTAGTCTCAGCAATCAACCATGTAGGAAGAACAAGATTGTATGCAATAGTTTTCCATTACCTGGAGTTCCAGGTCCTTCCCACTCTTGGTAATTAGCAATGAAACCTTTGTTTTTCTCTTTCTCTAGATTCTATACTAATGAATCTAGTCGTCTTCTCTCTTTTTTTTAATCTCTTTGCAAGTAATATAAGATAAAACTGAAATCTGATCGACAATTTTAAACAGGAAAGGATGGTTGATAGGGATTGTACTATCAGTAATATTACCCTTCTCGAGGAGCAAATGGGGGCCCTTGCTAGCATTGAAAAGTAAGTATTCATAACCATCTTATTGCAGGAAGTTTTGAGTTCAAATTTCATGGACGAGAGTTTGTTGTGTTTAGGAATCTATTGATTAATTACCATATTTCTCATGATCATTGCTTGAATTTGCTTTGATTTTTCAGAGGAGGTGGACATGATTGTAGACACAGTTGAAGCAGTGGTGGAGGTGGTAGAACAGGTAGCTGAGAAAGTGGAGGAAGTGGCAGATGATATAGGTGATAGTCTTCCTGAGGGAAAGCTTAAGACTGCACTTGAATTAGTTGAAAATATAGCCAAAGAAGCGGCCAAAGATGCTCACCTTGCTGACGAGCTGATTGAGAAGGTATATGGTTTGTTTTACATAATTAGTTAGTGTTCTACAAGTAATTTAAATCTCTAAGTTAATCAACGATAAACATATATATGCAATTAATTAGTGTTTGTATGAAAATTGCGCGTAGGCGGAAGCACTGGAAGACCGGGTGGAAGACTTTTTTGAGTCAGCTTTGGATAAAGCAGGAGATGTTATCAAAGATGTTGGTGATGAATCAGATGTACAAGTAGCTACAGAAAAGAAAACCCAGTGATACATATATGAGAATCTGAGATTTTCAAATCAGAGACGAACATAGAATCGTTAATTTATTCATCTCTAACTGTAAAAACGCATGCACCATTTGGATTTTGTATCTGTTTCTTTAAAGTTGAATTCATCAATATCAGTTCCTTTGTTTTAGATTATCAAGTTCTAATGGTGAAATCTACCTTTTTGCATTTTTTATACAAGCATTAAGGTTTAGGGCGGGGATTCTCCTATGAGGGGAATAAAGTTGGCCAGATATAACCAACCTCTATTATGCTCAAATTAACATTTTCTCTACCCCTATGTTTACTAATAAACAGAATATCAGATTTTGTGAGAGCCTTGTTGCTCATATGATTAAGGACATTTACCCTTATAGTTGAGTTTTTATAGGTAAAAGAGTCCTACAATGGTAAAAGAAGAAACTTGGGAAGGGTTTGGGCTTTTCTCTATAGTGTCAATTGATTTATGATGAACCTTATCTTTTTTATGATATCGGAGCAAGTTGGCCCATGTGTGAAGCCCATATGCCACACATGCTCCATGTCACCTGACACACTCCGACTCGGAATGTCTACATGTATTCCCGAGTTCAGATGTGCTGGTCAACACTTGAAAGATGATGAAGCCATAAAGTGTAGGTGATGTGGAAAAATGCTAATAAATAAAAAATTGAGTTAATTGAAACAAAAGTGAGCATGTAAGCGGGTCGGAACCTTTACTACAAAACATTAGTGTAAGAGCATAAGTATCAGAGTGCAACAAAAGTAAGGAATATTCACATCCTAAAATATGGTTATTATTACATAAAGCGAAAAGACTTCTTACGTTATTGGAGATACTAGTAAGCCAAAACCAATTATTGCAAGAGTTTATAAGAAGTTGGGTTACCTTCTATTTTGTCAATTAATTTTATAGTGAAACCTTAACTTTTTTTCATTATCCATGTTGGTAAGAGATGTGTTATTAGGATTCCCAATTCATTACCGGATGTAGAGAATGCATTGTTAACATATTTCAATTTCATTGTCACTTTGTAGTGTTGAATAGCAGCTTGAAATCATTTACGAGTAATGACCACAAAATTTTGGTAGTGCGTTATTAGCACTTCGGATTTCCGCTTCATAGGATAAGTCCAATTAAAATGTGAGAAATCATCAATAAGGATAACATAATACCAGTAACACCTAAAGAAAAATGCGATAGACATCCATATATCAGAATCTATAACATAAATTGAAGAGGAAACACTATTATTATCATTTACATAAAAAGGAAGTTGATCAAACTTCCTAAGTGGGCAGCCCGTACAAAAAGAATTTTCTAGCTTAACTGAAGGACCTAGACTATGATGAAGACGAGACATGATTTGAAACTATGATGATCAAGACGGTTATGCCAGGTGAAAGAGGAGGCAGCGGCAAGGGCTTGTGGTGTGGTAGTGGAAGCAATCGGAACTTCACCAAAAGTAGTCGCGGGGGCGGCTGACGTTTCCAGCCTCAGCAACTAGACTATAATCCATCCTTTCCGGCCGGAGATGAGGATTCTACTCTAACACATGCTCATTCACCAACTCCCCTGCTCACCCCCGCCTCTCTCTCTTTCCTAATCGATTGGATCGTACACATTTAATTTCTCGCAATTTATTTCGTTGAAATTTTATTTTCTTGCAATAGGAGTAATCTAACGTAATTATTTATCAATTTGATCCCTTTGACTAGTTCGGAAGGGTTGATGCGATTCGCCTTCCCTACATCCCACCTCACCACATCAACCATTAAAATCTTTTCACTTCACTGTCACGAATAAGGCATATTCTAAAGTCCTTGCACCCAAGGCACATAGAACCCTCAATCGGGACGCGTTCCTTCCATAGTCATAAATCGCATTAAAAGAAATCAAATCAAGAGCAACCAAAATCACCAACTTCTCTTTACTAACTTGGCCTTAGGTCGTGAGTTGATACGCCTACAACAAAATGGGAAGCACCAAGGGCTGTGCGGTGGAAACCAATTTTGAGACGAACAAAAACAAGAGATAATTTGATAGAATAACAGTGTCAGTATTGCCACTGACAAGCATGAACCTTGAATTCTCATTAATGAGGATCCTCTCTGGATCTGTGAGGATCTTAGGGATCCTCTAATCATGTCCGTTCATCGTACATGGTGCAGTTAGAAATAATTTTAATTTTTTTTATTTAAAATTGAACACAAATAGTATTTGACAAAAACTGACCCTACAATGTACAATAAATGAACACGATTAAAGAGTTCTCGAGATCCTCACAAAGAAGATCCGGAGAGAATCTTTATTCTTCTCATTAGGTGAATTGCATAGGGTAAAGTACACATAAAAAAAGATAAAAAGGAGAGAGAGAAAATGTAGGTGACATGTGATGGATTGTATGTAGTAGGTAGTAAAAGTTGGCTAACAAGTAACCCTTCTCTAACTCAAAATGTTTTATTTTCAAATTCTGAGAAGGAAGGAAGGAAGGAAGGAAGGAAGATTCCTTAAAATATGTCATCTTGATCTTCAAAATACTCAAAACGGTCAAATGGTCTAGAATAAAAATTTAAAATTTTGACACAATCATCTTGAAAAATTCACAAATCCGCTCCAATTGGAATTACTAAAAAATTCATCTGTTTGATTGCTTTATGCCCAAAGTAGATTTGAAAGATCACACTGTTTTTTCTTCTCGCAAGTGAACACCAACATTTTAGGTATTTGAATTTTGAGTTAATTAAAGAACGTTTCTTAAATGATTAGAATTTAAATTTAAATTACAACCGATCAGAGTTAAACATAAACAACATATTGATCATATTTATCGGACATAGCGATTAGAAATCAATGACCGACTACATTCTGAACAACTGGATGTTTCAATAGTGGGTTTGAAGAATGGTCGTTTTCTCTCACTAAATAATTTGTGCACCAATTAAGCATGAAATGTTTTTAGCATTATACTTGTTTTCTCGTATTTGTAATTTTACTATTATTTGAAAAGACCTAATGCAAGTGGTCTTATTATATTCCAATAATTGCGCGTTCTTATTTTATATTTTAAAAGATGTTATAAAACAACTAAAATTGTTTTAAAAAAAAATAAATTATAAAAAAAACACATATTTGACACACTCTATAAAAGAGTCTCTATTATAGTAAAACTGACGGTCATTTTTAACACTACAAGAAACTATTCATCAGTTAGATATTTCACAAAAAAAAAAAAAAAAAAAAAAAAAAAAGCTTAACGGTGAACCCTTAAGCAAGAAAAATGGGAAGAGAGAAGATTGTTTTAGAAAATGAGTGGGTTAGGTTTGAATTGTTAATAATGAAATGTTCAAAATTTATTAAAATAAAGAGTGTTGTTGGAGATGACAATTTAAAATAATTATAGTTTAACAAAAATTCAGAGATTTTCTTAGAAATGCTAACAATTATAATTTTAAATATGAGCGGTATAAACGTGTTTTCCATTTTACAAGGTAGTGACGTTATTTAACCAAATATTTTGTCTTTACGCATTATCAAATTGCTTGACAGCCTTCCAAAACCTATCAATCTATCTCAGCGTCTAGCTGGAATTGGAATCGGATATTGCGGATCAAGGCAAAGCATTATTTGTAACGAGTTTATTTTCCTATGAAGTGCTTATAAGGTCACTCAAACCTATGACTTCTAGAATATATTAACTAGTTAAACAGGGACATAAGAGGAATTCTGTACAAAAGCTGACCAATTATGTTTTGTTAAATAAATGAATACAAGATTTAACACGTTGGTTTAAAATAAAAAAGACGAGGGAAACTCGTAGTTGACCATGGGGCTTTGTACGTAGACAAAGTCATCGGTTTCGTACTGGTCTTGGAATATTTCTTTGTGCTTTCCTCGACTACATTTTCACATTGAACAAATATTAACTATATAAGCCTCTCATTAGCAAAAAGTTCCATCATACAACAAATTTGAGAGATATAAATCATTTTTGGACTGTTAATCGAGGACGAGTGATCAGGAGAAGAACGAATGTCAATAATCACAACATCAATTGATCTAAGTCGATCGGCCCGCGGTTGCATTTTTGTGAAGCGTCCTCGAGTAGTAGTTCAACCATTTTCATCATCATCAACATGGAAATGCCAACAAGGTATCAGAAGCAACCCTGCATTCTTGTCTCTAACTAGCAGCCAACCATGTCGGAATAAGATTGTATGCAGTAGCTCTACATCACCTGGAGATCAAAGTCCTTCTGTAGAGCATTCAGACTCTTGGTAATTAGCAACCAGACCTTTTATTTCTCATTGATTCCTTTTATGATCTGTTTCTTTTTTTGCAACTAATATATTTATAGAAAACTTCATTTTAATCCTTAAAAAAGATGAGTTTTAGATTATAACCATATGTAAGATTAAAATCCAATTTTAGTCCCTAGCACATTTAATCATATCATTTATTAGTTATATTTTGTTGTTTTATTTATCTTTTTATTTTTATTTTTATTTTAATGTATTAATTACATTTAAATTTAATTTTTATTTCATTCATCATAATATATTTTAATGTCTACATTTAGGCAACTAATTTTTTTATAATATATATTCTGATAACAATTTTGTATGTTCTTCATTTCGGTACATTAATACATTTGAATATTTTGGTATATCCATCGGTACAAACATGTAGTTACATTGATTCAATATAATGCATTTCGGTCAATATAATGCATTTCATTACTTACACTTTGGTACACACATTTGAGTATTGACTTTTAGGTACATTAATTCAATATATTATATTTCGGTAAATACATTTAGGTACATATATACATTTTGGTATTGATATTTAGGTACATACATTTTAGGTATTGACATTTAGGTACGTACATTTTGGTACATACCATTTTGGTACGTACATTTCTGTACATACATTTCGGTATTGACATTTAGATATATTAATTCAATATAATACATTTCGGTACATACATTTAGGTTCATTATAATATATTTCGGTACAATTAATCATGTAAGTACAAATATTTCGGTACAAAAAAGTCAATTTTATATATTTTGGCACAATCATTTCTGTACACTTATGTATTTATATATTTTTGTATCACAAATTTCTTTTAATATTTTCTCATTTACGTTCATTTCTAATTAAAAAAACTAAATATGTGCATATTAATAAAATTAGAATTTAATATCGAGAGATTAAATATAACAAAAATTGAATGTAAATTTTGATAAAAGTACACTCAAGGGATTAAATTGAATATTTGATCTAGCATCAGGTTTTTTTTTTAAATTTTAATCTTTTGCCAGGACTAATGTTCAAAAACCCCATATATTTATACGATAAACATGTCCCTTGATAATTTGAACAGGAGAGGCTGGATGATAGGGATGGTATTCTCAGTAATTATACCTTTTTGGAGGCACAAATGGGGGCCTTTGCTACAATTGAAGAGTAAGTATTGTAAGCGCAGGTCCTGATTTCAAATTTTATGGAGATAAAATCGAATAAAATATTCCTTGTAAGAGACCAAGTACTTTTAAGAATCCCTTGATTATACCATATTTTTCTGATAAAAAAAAATTGGTTTGAATTTGACTGTGCAGAGGAGGTGGACATGGTTGTAAACAATGTTGAAGCAGTGGTGGAGGTGGTAGAAAAGGTGGCAGAAAAAGTGGAGGAAGTGGCAGATGAAATAGGTGATCATCTTCCAGCTGATGGAAAGTTTAGGGCTGCTTCTGAAGTAGTTGAAAGAATAGCCAGAGAAGTAGCCAAAGATGCACACCTTGCAGACCAGCTAATTGAGAAGGTAATTAGTTTAATTTGCATAATAAAAACTAATTAATTGACGTCAATTTCTATACAGCACACTAATTTATACTTAGTAGTGGCTAATAATTAACTAGCTTTTTTTCCTGAACAATGCGCAGGCGGAAGCACTAGAAGATCAGGTGGAAGACTTTTTTGAGTCAGCTGTGGATAATGTAGGAAATGCGACCAAAGATGTTAGCGATGAATCAAATGTACAAGTAGCTACGGAAAAGAAAATCCAGTGATACACATGTCATATATGAGGTTTTCAAATAAGAGATGAATTAGCTGGATCCTTATAATTTAGTCAACCCTAACCGTAAATATTGTGTTCATCATTTATTTTATAATTTTTCGATTGGTTTTATTTATTTATTTCTATTGGTTTTGGTACATTTGACTTTTAGTCCTATCACTGTTCGAATTTAAGAGTAACCTTTAGATTTGTAATGTAATAAAAGCTTCTTTTTAATTACGTCTTCTAAAACTCGATTTTAACCTTATTTTGCTCATTGTAACTTGTAATTTGTTATTTTACTTCTTGAAACTCATAGTTCGCTCCATTTTGTCCCGTGAAACTTAATTTTGATCCCATTTTGCCCCCTTAAAATTGAAAGCCGTTTCTCTAAAACTCAAAATTCGCTCTACATTGCCTTAGATTTGTTAATTTCTTAGTGGGTTTGCGATAGGATTTTTACCACCTACAAAAGTGGGGATAAAAATATTTGCAAGAGTACAAGGTAATCGTAGTATAGTTGGCTCTAGTAATGTCTTTTCCACACAGATTGAATAAATAATTTATATAAAACCAAATCTTAATTAATTATTTGAAAACAAAGTTCGGAAAATGTTGATTTTATTAGGGGTGGGTCCAAAACACCGAAAACCGAAAAAAACCGAAAACCAAACAGAACTGAAACCGAAAAAATCGAACCAAATTGAAAAAACTGAACTGAACTGAATTCTTTTGGTTTGGTTCGGTTTTAGTGGTCTAGAAACTGAACCGAACCGAATTAATTAAATTAATATTTTTTATTTTTATTTATTTAATTATTTATTTTGGATATTATTTTTTAAACCCAATTTGTAAGCCCAATGTGTTGCCCAAAATTAGAAATTCCAAATGCATGTGCTACTTTTCCTATTACTACAAGGAAGAAGTCGTATAAAAAAGCAAGACCTAAAATAGTGATACCAAAATGGCGCTAACTCTTGACACGATACTGTTAATTCTTTATTCTTGTTTAATCTGGCTTCTTGCTCCAAGTATTTGTAAGCTTATTCGGTACTTCATTGCTTATTGTTATATGCAGTGATCATGTATTGGTTTTGATCAAGTGTTTTCACTTTTGATATTACTTCTGCCGACTAAATAGTAAATTACAATACTAAATGATCGATAATACATACAAGGAGAGCATAATCAATATATGATCCTCGTTGGTTCAAAGTGAGTTAGAGTATGATAATGCTCTCATTGTACGTACTATCGTGATAAAATAATTCAGCTCATATCCACCAACCTATACCAGCTCTTTATATTATTCATAGTTAAGAGTTGAGGTGTGAAGAAAATGGTAGAAAATTTTACTTTTCTAAAAAGATATCTATTTACAGTTAAACTTTAAACCCAAAATATTAAAAAACCTTTATGGTTATAATTCTAGTTGAACTTTAAATGTTTATTTTCATTGTCTTTGATTCTAGTTGGAATATTTATGTTATGATTGTGTTGGAGATGTTAAAATTTAAGATTTCAATTTTTGAAATAAAAAAAAAAAAAAAAAGAAACCCAAACGGAAAAAACCGAACCGAAAAAAAAAATGAATTGAACCGAAATTTCAGTTTGGTTTGTGTTTTGGCAAAAAATCAAACCGATTTGAACCGAACCCAACCCTAGATTTTATAACCTAAAATATTAAAAACGAATTTAATTAAAAACAATTAAATAAATTGGGAAAGTAAAGAAAACAAAAGAAAATAATTTTGAAAATCTATTTAAGTACTAGGGTTCCGCCATCACCTTAACAATCATACATAGTTCTTCCAATTAATTATGACCTACACATGCATATTTTAAAGTTTAGGTTTTCCTAAATTATGTCCTACTTGAAACCTCCAACATAAAACGTATATCAAACATGCAACCCATCTGTAGTGTCCAGATCGAATGTGAATATGCAAGAATCATTAAGTTTTGTGAAAACCTTTTGAAAAACTATGCAATCATGTCGTTCATCCTAAGAGGTTACGCATATTAACTACAAGAAGCCTTAGTCAATTTTAGGGACAACCCTCCTTCAAAATTGCATTGAATTACTTTTCTAAATATCCTAATAGTAGCCAATCATCAAGACAAGTACATAGTTTCAAACATGGTGATTAATAATTCAAAACCTACATGCATAATATCATAAACAAATTGAAAAGAGACTACATATTCTTGCTAAGGCTTGTGGCCTCACCCTAGCAGTTGGAAATTAGTTACTAACAATCATAAAACAAAATATTATTAAGAACATGGATAGAAAACACGTTGAAAATAAACTTGAATCGTCAAAAGCTCACTAAGCAGAATTCTCCAAAGTAGTCCTCTCTAAAGTAATGCGTTCCAAAAACCCTAAGGGCTAAATAGGCTTATATACTACTACAAAACAAAATCCTTACTAGAAAAGGTGTTCTAAAAACTAGGAAACATAATAGAATAAAATAACTAGGAAATACATTCATATTCTAACTTTGGGAAATTTACCCATTCGTAAAGAACCCCACGTTTCTGGATCTTCAAGGCTCCAAAACAGGTCCAAAACGATTTGAATTAAAGCTTGAGATGTGCCGAATATTAATGAAGAAGGTCTTAAATCCAGAAGACATCATCTTAGAGTCCAAAAAGGCCAAATAAGCCCAAAACATCACATTGACAATACTGCGTGCTACTCCTTTATTTCATTGCCATAAATAAATTGCATGGTAGAAAAATTAGAAACTTTGATACAAACAAGCTGAGAAACACACGAACATCCTCCAATTAGAATCACTCTAAAATTCATCCGTTTGACCATGTTTTGGCCCAGCGGAAATCAAAAGTCCTATATTGAAAATACAATTCATAGTATCAAAATTCTCACAAAATAACCACTAAATTAATACCAAGGTTCTAAAAGATGCTAGGCGCTAGTTAAGCGGCGAGTTAGGGCCTAATGCCTAGGTGGACTAGACAGATTTAAATAAATCTATTATATTTCATGTAAATAAGTATTTGTTTATACTTAAAAAATATATAATTTCATTATAAACTACAAAATAAAATGACATATATATTAGGAAGTATTAGAACATAATGAAAACATGAGGAACATGCATATAATGTGTATTCATTTAAAAATTCAACAAGTCTCTTACAATTTATTGAAAAAAAAAAATGCAAAATGAAAGTTATCTATTTTCTGTCTAAATGAGTCGCAACCTAGGCGGGTTAGGCGGGTGCCTATGCGATCTAGGCGGATGCCTTAGCAGGACTAGACACCCTTTCTTAACTTTCAAACGCCTAGGCATTAATTAGGGCAATGGCTAACCACCAAGCGCCTAGGCGGGGTCTAGGTGGCGCTAGGCGGAGATTTTTAGAATAGTGATTGATACTAAGAATAGGGTAAAATATATAGTATAATATGGATTCATCAGTTTGATTTTGGGTGCACTAGTCTCTTCAATTTCTTTTTTATTTGTTTCAACTCTCCAATTTCTTCTGAACTTAATATTCTTTAATTGTTTAATGTTAACACATAATAAAGATTTATAATCAAATTTATTGTACATGCGGCATATCTTATTGTGTGCTGGGTCCCACATGTGTTTCAGAAGGCGACCTATATGTTTTAGGGAAAAGAGAATTCACATGTCAAGGTGAAAATAATTTTAAGTTTTAGAGAGTAAAATTGTAACTTTAAAGTACATGAGGCAAATTGAGGTCAAAATAGAATTACGGGAGGCGTAGCTAAACATAAGCCTAAAAACAAAATAAAACAAAGCTAGCTCCTAGATCCTGCAATTAAATATGACTCATGAGTACCAGCTTTTTTTAAGGAGGGACGAAGGAAACAAGAAACACCACCTTTAATTAATGGAGAATGCTAGGGAGATAAAATTTTAAACTAAATTTGTAAGCCAAATGATATGGTTATAGGTAATTGGATTACAAATTAAATGTCAATTAACGTACTTATTTCTTATTGGTGACACATCATTGAATTAGGACAAAAAGTTACCCTAGTTATGTATTTATGTCATACAAATACTTTTGGTATGGAGGAGGTCCATGTCTATAATTTACATGCCACGCTATAAATAGTATGGGTGAAATATTAAAATTTTTCTTTTTGTTTGGTAAGGGAGACTTTTTGTTTTTGTTTTGGTAAAGGGAGAAATGTGAAAGCTGGAAAGGCTATCTCTCCGGCACATCATCCTGTGAACTACTAATAGCTCTAGCTCATTGAATTTAGCTACCAATTGCCATTATCTTCTGTATAATCGCCTTGAAAATTGCACTATTTGAGAAAAATCTTCATAATTTGATCTCTTTCTGCCGTTTTAAGATCCAAATGCCTCTGATGTAATCAACAATCTCAACCATGTGCGGTTTAAAAACTACTTGAAATGAACAAAATTGTAAACTTTATAAAGTATTAGTTAAAAAATAATAAAATAATAAAATAAAAAATAAAAAATAAAAACCAATCAGAAATTGTTTGGTCACATGAGTTTGTGCAACCAATTATACAAGACACTGCTGTAGGAGAAAGTGCTCGCACACGCTTATCTGCGGCAGCCTTGTACTTCGCATGGGTATTCTCTAACTTTTAATATCCTCTTTTGTTGTATGCACATCATCCGCCATATGCTCTGCTACTATGCCAACTTCATGTCCGATTTGAAAACTTCACCAAATCATCTACGTGGTTAGAAACTGAGGTATAATCTATACATAATGGTGACTTTCTTGTGACTCTACGAACAACATTATTCTAGGCAAACTCCACTTGAGGAAATTCAAAATTCCATTGCTTCAACTTTTCTCCACAAACACTTCGAATTATGCACTTGTTTGAAAGTGCTACTCTATAAAGCATTTTTTCTCACTAGTGCTTCTTGTTAGTAATGCTTTTACGAAGAAACAGTTATTGGTTGGCAAGCAACTAAGTAGGTACTTTTATACTTTATAGAAGTGGTTTTGTTGTTTGGCAGGCAACCAATCACGTCAAACTTTCTTGTTCCTAAGACACTTTAATTTTTTGGTTAGATTGCTTCAACGCAACAAACATATTTTATTTTTTATTTCACTGAAGACATCTACAACTTTCATAAAGAGCTCATATTGCTTACAACTTCAGACAAGCCTTCCAAACCTTGCATCACTTCCTCAACGCTCGGATGGGCTACGCAAGTTCTTCCTCTGATTTTCTTTCGCTATCCTCTTAA